AACTGCAAGACTATGTATGACTTCTGAAAGAGCAAGAGAAAAGGCAGCAAGATAAAAAGCATTCTTCATTGACACGCACTATCGGCAGTGTTCGCGCCGAGTTCGTACAGTGTTCATGCATGGTTCACGCATATAGCACGACCATTGATGCGTGATCAATCTTTGAACATTTAAAAATTCTCTATACGACATGGCACGCACCCCTGCACCCTGCACATACTCTTCATGCTCGTTCCCAAAAACTTTAATCATTAGCACGCCGAAGTGTGTGCCAGTGCGGGAACGAAAATCGTACAAGTGTCAGTAATAAACACCATTTACACGGCCAGTTAACACTGATATCAAATACACATCACGATGATGATCTTTTGCCGTGTCAACGTGGCTTACATTGCATTCAGCCTTGTTGGTATTTTAAAAAGCGCTTGAAAGTTAAATATTAAAATGTATTATTTGATGTAGGGTGTATTATTAAATATTTCTGTACATAAACGTTATCTGTACTCTGATATTGTAAATCGAGTCAATGGACTGTAGCATGGTAACAGTAGGCTGTTTCTTCCTGCTTTTTTTTGACTGATATTCCAAAAGCTCTCTGATTACATAATTAAGTATTTGTTGCCTGGTTACCACATGTACATATTACAGTTTGTTTCTATTAATAGTAACTTGTCAATGTTTGTATCAGATTACAATTCAGATTAGAATTTTCATCCAGATATAGATATTATTATTATACTTGGCTCTAAATGTCATAGGTCGACAGAATTAATTGAGAGTTTATTTGCAGTTGGCCAAATAATGTTTAGTTTCACGTCCCTGTGCTCAACAAATTTTGGATAAACTCATAAAAGGGTCATTCCATGACAACTCAAAACATTTTCAACAAATCTTGGCTGGGTACCGTGTCAGATTTTCTTGAAACTCGGATATAATCTGCATCAACATGTCTGTTGAACAAACCCAAAATTTGACTTGCCAATTCCAAGTCATTTAAAAGTTACGGCCATTTGTAATTTTAGAGTCATACCCCCTTTCAGCTCTCAATTATGACATATTTGTAAAGCTACATTTTCAATTAGCCATATCTTCAAATGGAATAAAGATAATTAAACTGAAAATTGATATCTAGACTAACTTTTGGCTGTAATATAACATGATTTTGGTATACCCAACCCTGTTACGAAAATATTGGTTCTTAAAGACGCTAACTTATTTTGTCTCGTAAATTTTCTACCATTGTTAGACCCCACTAAAATACCAAATGAGTTATTAAATGGGTTTTACTTATGCAACAGATTATTAATATAGTTGGAAATGTCTCATCACAAAAAAATTCAGGATTTTTCACTTACCATTTTAGGAGATAATCGTAGGTCAAAAGGTCATTTGGGACAAAATACAAACAAATTTTGTTGGTGACCTTTGACCCTGTGGGCAAGTACCCTTGTCGTCAAAACTTAAACCATAAATTAATTTATGTATGATGATCATAGTTCCAAATATCAGTTTGGTGTCTTTATTCCTTCATGTTTAAAAAGCAATTTGAAAAGGGGTATATTTTTACAATTTGTGACAATATCAGTGCGTAAATGTGACAACATTAATTTTTGAATAACGGTAATATTAAAAACAATCAGCCTAGAGCCTTGAATCCCATAATTCTAAAACAACTTGAATGAGCAATACAAACAATGAGCCATAATAAGACTAGGCCTAAGTAGACAGTACAATTATATGTGATAGAAAGTACACTTTCGAAAGAAATAAATTAAAATAAGAAAAAAAAAAATTAACTAAGAATAATTCAGTTGCAGACGTAAGTACCTTGTTTAAGTATTGTACAATGCTAACAATGCGGCTCTTGTAGCTCTAGCTACAGTACTGTAGGCAAGGCATCCGTGTGTGCCACCAGTGGTGTTTGTTTGTCCATGAAAAAAGCGCACCTTGAATGTTTGCCTTACCACTTACCGGTACTAGCTTATGACGCATGCATGCTAACTATATTGTAAGTGTGACATCACCAAAAAATAAAAATTTTCTATATAACCAAAATATTAATAACTACAAGGTTTGTGGGCGTAAATTCCCATAATACGAATTCCGGGTAGCACCATCTCCTTGCCATACAAATTACAGCTCCCACTGACGTCTCAGTCGAGAAATATGGGTAGCTGAAGTTTTTCTCGCAAATCTGACTACAAAACCATATCCAAATTTCACGTTCCACTTCTGAATCTGAGTTGTGCTTCGCACACGCCACTGCGGGCGGCGTTCCGAGAACCCTGCTTCCAGTGACTAGCATAGCAATCAAACTCAGTGAAAGTTTGTCAGAGTATAATTTGTTCTTAATGTACTGTATGTACAGTAGGCTTAATAAATACTCGTTTGAGACAAGCAGATGAGTGGGCACCTCTAACTACCACCTTTACATCAACGCTCAGGGCTTGGATAATGACTTGCATGCAACTAGCCCAGTTTACTTACATTATCTGGCCTGTGTGCAAAAACAACCTCTACTACATCATTCGAGTAGGAGTTTGCCCCAAATGCTATGTGCGAAAATAGACCAACTGGGATATGAGGTTGCATAGAATGCCTATTGGAAACAAGAGGAAGAGTCAGTTGAATTGCAGATTTTGTATTGAGGGCTTTGTAGGAGTTCTGATAGATTGCAGGTAAATGAAAATGTATTGAAGATTATCTTGTAAGTTTTATTATAGGAGATTTTTTATATAGAATTTTATATTCAGTATACCCTGTACAATCCGTTTTTGACTGTCCTAAAATAGACCCTTTTTGATTTGGGGATACACACCTGGCAGTGCCATTGATCTATGTGAAATGTCATTAAATTATTTTTACCTTTAGTATTTACTGTAGACAGTTATTCCAGAAACCATCGACATCAACATTTTTTATTTTTGGTTAAATTGTATTCGTGACTATTTTTTCATGTTTTTCATTTATGTCAAATAGGCCTACTGTAAATCAAATCAAATAGTAAATCATTCATCAGGCACTGAATGTTAGAAGTAGTAAAGTTCAGTGTGTAATAAAATACTGGAATTAATGCAAAATAGATTATCGTAAAGATTACGAACAGCCAACCGATATAAGCCAACAAAGCCTTTTGGATGATCTAGGACAGACTGTAAATTTATTTTTAGTATATCTCACTTTTTTTTTACCTTTAGTAGTTATTTTTAAATAATTATTCTCAATAAACTCATATCAAGTCCATTTTTGTATGGTATGGAAAGTAAATTGGATTTTGTACAACAGTGTTCATATATTTCATTCTGTGACCATTATCAAGAAGAATAAATTATTTTTTCATTGATGTTGTAGATCATAATTAATCTTATTCATTGCAATCGCAACCATGGTAACCAGTAGTATTCATGATTGTTGACCTTTTTTGTTGAACAATAATTTGATTGTTGTGAAGTCATAATTTTTTTTTTTTTCATTTGTGGTATATTTGTTCAAAACTAACAATATGACAGTCAGTTTGGCATGGTGATGTTGGCCAGACTTAGGTGACATGAAATATTCATACGAAACAGAATGCGCATAAAATACTATATAACTGCTTCTAATATTTTTCTTTAGAAATTACTATTATGAAGAGGGGAAATATTTAATGACATAAATACAAGCCTTGTTATACCTACTGCAGTAAACTAAAAAAAAAACAAAAAAACTGGATTCATAATTTTAAGTGCACATAACATAACAAGAAGGAGCTTAAAAAGAAGTGCACATAAAATGAGGCATGCTGTGGCAAAATGGCTAAGTTGTAGCAAAAATTGAAATTCAAGTTATTGGTATTTTCAAATACCTGAGTATGTGATCTTTAAAATGAGGGGTCATTCATTCAAATTGGACATTTCAAACCTAAGTTATTGGAAAGTAAAAGTACAGTACTCTTATACAGTAGAGTCAAGATAAACAGGATTTTGAGTAATTGCGTTTCAAAGTTATTTGCGCATACATTGTTTAATATAATGAACTATAAAAAATAATGTTAAATAAACAATTTGTTAACCACTTCCAGAACTAATACTTTGAGACATGATTATTAAGACATTAAATTGTTGACCTATATTGAAAAAGAAATTTGGATTTTTTAGCAATTTTTTAAGCTCCCATATTTTATAGCTCATTTACTCAATACTGGACTGTGGGACAACTTTACCATTTCGCCACAACATGCCTCAAATACTGTAAGGGTTTATCTTAAGTATAAAATTGTTGTATAGAAATTACTAATAGAGAGTAAAAATACATAATTACCGTACTCGCGCGAATAAGTTATTTTGGCTCTTTTTGAGGGGCGCTTATTCAAACGTGGCGCTTATGAAAACAGAGTGGAAATTGAGGCGGACGCCTATTTATGGCTCATGACAAGAATGTTTGTGGTATTTACACAACAGCAGATGAAATATTAGTGGTAGTGTTGGTGGCGGTGGCAGTAAGCGATTGGCCATCTGTCAATTCAGATTAGCAGGATCATTGCAGAGTTTCTTGCTTAAATACGAGAGTGTTGAGGTCAGTTTATTTTTGTAGATTAAAAATGGCCATACAGTATTTTAATTTTTAGTTATTAAATACTGTATTTCAAAATCTGATTCAAACGGGGCGCTTATTCGCGCGAGTACGTTTATAAGCCTTGTTTCCGAAATATTTAGACTAAACTAAAAAAAAAATCAAAATATGTTTTCTAAAAAAAATACCCCTGGGGATTTGTTATAATTTGAATTTATATTACAGTACTTCTTTAAAAAAATTTAAAAATGTGAAGTACTGTTGTTGTTACAGACTCTTTGTGTTTTAAATACAAAACTTTTTGACAAACCAATGCTTGTATCACAAGCTAGTTCATTGCTTTTTGAAAAGAAGCAGAAACATCTGAATAAAAAGCAGATTTAATTCAAAGAGATATCACATGGGAATGAAAAGTATAAAATAATTACTATTATTAATCATTCTTTCAGGAGAAGTTCTTGGAAGTTTATGCAAACGTTTTGGTGTCGATTCATACGTATCGTGCAAAGAGCTTATCACCGAAGGCATCAGGAGCAACTTGGAGAGAATTCCACTGACAGAGTCTGGACTTGATGAAAAGAAAAATACTCAGTCACTGGTAGAGAAACTTGCAGGGTCAAATGAGGTTATACAACTTTTAGCACTACTATTTTTTGGCGGAGTTTATTTTAATATAACCATTAAGAGAATTTAAGTTATAGGGAAGCTGAACCAGGGGAATAATTAAAGATTTCAAACAGTTATTTTTCAGGCCAAAGTGACAAAGCCATAAAATTTCAAACCTAATACATGCAGATGCACATGCATATCTAATGTATTGATTATACTAGCAAATGCTACAACTAGCAGCTTGATTATATGAAACATTGTGACTTTATTGAAAAGCAGTTAATTTTTATAGTTATTTCAGAAGCCTTTTAAAAGCCATTATTACCTTCCTCCTATAATGGATTCATGCATTTTTTTTAAGGAAATATGGCTTAGTATATACTTGGTTCTACATTAATAGTTAAGTTACAGTGAAATTCTGCTTGGGCCTCTTTGATACCTCATTAGCAGCATATAAGTGCTACACCTGGCGGCATTCTCTTGATCATGTTGTATTGGACCCACGGTCTATACTATTTCCAAAGAAACATTGTATTTCTATTGTGTGAGGTGCACAGCATCAACCAAGAATAGGCAACACATGACTTGGATTTATACAATATTTATAATGCGAACACATCGACAAAACAAAATAAAATCAATGGTGGTACTGTAACACAATTAAGTACATATAGAGAGGTTGAGAACTTGAAACTATTGTTAATGCACACTGGTTATGTTCAGACGACCTTCTGTCTAAAATAAAGTTATGACAAACATAAAATTTTATGTGCATGTTACTTCTGACGAGTGTCTACACAATATTTACCTAGGACAACTAATTCAAAGCTTTAGAGTAACTACAGTATTCAAATACTGTATTCCGGAAGTGATAGTCACTACTTTGATTTGATTTGATTTATTTCGAAATTCTCACAACTAAACAGATTACAAAATTAAATGAATTAAACAACAATAAGAGAGTTTCGGGATAACCCTTTAAGCTTTTCTGCTTGTTTCCAAATGGGTCTCTATAGTTATTTTGCACATATTTTTTTGAAATTGTAAACAATTATGAAAACATCGTGTCTACAAAGGCTTTACACGTCACAGGAAATGTTATTTTGGCACTCATTTGTAGGTATTTATCTTTTGAAAATAATTGAGGTCAAAATAAAGGTCGCATTTGCTCGCGAGCTCTGAAATCACAGCGCTACACTGAGCGCGTATTCCATCTTTCTTGTGTACGCGGAAGTAACACACTTACTCCTGAGACTGCTCAGGAGTAAATTGTTTGTAGTAATGTTGAAGTAACTAATAAATTACAACGAGCTTCTTCACGGGCACTACCCAGGGCTTTCGACAAGTGAACTGCTACGTCAAAGCTTACTTCTGACTCATCTGAACATGCCTACTGGTTAATAAGCTAGAAGTACATGCAAAAATATAATATATTTATAAAAATATAATATTAAAATGATATTATTCTATTGATAACATAAATGTATCAGGCTTAAACTATAAATTTATTATAAATTGTATTTCACAAGAAGAGTAGCTTTTGAGATATAATAGAGCTAGGGATAAAAGGTTGTCATAGTCCAGCGCACACATGGTGGTTATCACCAATTTCAGCCGACTGCATTATGCCTCTCTCTATTGATTAAACTTAATTACAAATATATTACAAGGTGTTGGTTACTGTATATATGTAGCTTAAAAACAGTTTTTTGAATCATGTCTTATTATATTGGCTTGAATACTTTCAGGGATCAGGTTCATTGGTAGGGACATCGGCTGAACAAATATTTCATGACACTGCCGGGTGGAAGAATCTAGAAACTTGGATGAAGTAAGTTGGATAGATTGTCTCAACCACTGACAAACCTTTATCCCAATAAACCAATGATAAGCACTTAGAGGCATTTTTGGTTTGAAGTGCTACATAAATTAATATTATTGTATTGATAAAAACAGTGTTCATTGGACATTGATAACACAAATTCTCATTATATATTTGTAAAACCTATTTTGTTGGATTGATGAAATTAATGCTCATTTATAAAATTAATAACACTAATGTTCATTGAATATTGATAAAACCAATGATCGTTGGATATTTATGAAACCCAATACCCATCAGATATTGATAAAAACAGTGCTCATTGGACATTGATAACACCAATGCTCTTTCGTTTTATTTATAAAACCAATGATCATTGGATATTGATGTAATAACCGATGCTTTTTGGATGTTGTTAATGAGCATTAATGCTCATTGAATAATGATAAAAACCAGTGCTCAATGAATATAATAACACCAATTCTCATTTTGGAATTGGATATTGATATAGCCAATGCTCATTGGATATTGGTTAATCCAATACTCATTGAATATTGATAAAACATGCTCATTGGATATTGATAAACCAAATGCTCATTGGATATCACATGACCAATGCTCATTAGATTAGTAACTTACATTAATGATAGGGTACTGAAATGTACAACTAATACAGTAATTTATAGAGAAAATACAATAATTTCAATATCTAAACTAATGAATTCATATTGTTTTAATAATTTCTTAGATGTCTGCAATGTGTAGTCGAGGGATGCGGAATCAGTTTTGCACCACAGATTGACCAAAATCTGTTAGACTTAATATTCCAGGCGTTGGTACACACCAACCGTTTTGTGCGTGAGACTGGATTTCAAGTCTGTGCTGCATTTGTCAGTTGCACGGCAACGCGTAGTGGTAAGAATAAGATTGATGCAAGTTTCATGCAAGACTATTGGCATTATGAAAAGCAATTGTTCAAGTCGAGTACTTAAGTAGACTCAGCAGTCTCAATTTTATTCAATTACTGTATCTTGAGTTAACCTTCAAAAACTGTGTTGTGTTATTCTATTATCATAATTTATTATTTATTTGATACAGATATTGAATTAGATGCTCATTATTAAACTAGTGGCATTATATTTATTACATGAAAATGATATTTCTTGTAATAAATATATATATCAGTATTATATTTAAATTTTTGGTTATTTGTTTGTAAAATTCTAATATTTGAATAAAAATAAGTGCAATAAAAATGTTAAAGGTTAATGATGAATGATAGATTTTTATTTCACTGCACTTTGATACAATCTTGGGGTGCATAGGTGACACCATTTTTATACCTTGTTTTGCGGACCTGCTGCCAGCCGATAATGATGCTTTAAAATACTTAAATACCATTTTATTTTAACACACCTGTTGCCATAAAAAATATAACTTTAAAAAAAAGAATAATTTTTTTATGTAAAAAAAAATCAGGCCTGCTTTTTTCATGAGATCATCCAATATGAGGCAAATCTTAATTTTTTAACCAAGTTTAATAAATTTTAAGCATTATTAAATCTGATTTACATCGCAATATCGCATGCTTTACACAATATGATAAGATCTCAAGTGAGTTTTCTCTATTTTTACCTCACATACTTGCATTTTTTTATTTGTATATTAAAATTAATTTGTATTTTCTCATCCACCTAGGTGTGTTTGTCAAAACCATTTGCTGAATGAGAAAACTACATTTTTATTTGTTTCCACCCTTCTTTAAAAAATACATTCATTAAATAATATACCAACGTCTCGCACTAGCGGCGGTATATATAATCATTACCTTTATTACTTTTATTATGTTTAATTGACACAAATTATAATTGGTAATCATATTTATTTTTAAATAGACAGTTTTAAAAACTTTTATTAAGTTACAAAATTTTATTCACTTACTAGAGACTAGAGTAAATAAAATTTGTAACATAGAAGTTTTAAAACTGTCTATTTGATTCATAAACTGCAACGTATGAATCTTCATGATTGTTTTTTATTTTTGTTGACTTGTATTATTACTCAGGTTTTCTTTTCAGATGATCGGGAGTCTATGGAAATGGATGGAGAGCTCAGTGATAGCAACCCAATGGTACATTTTGGAGAACAGTTTACCAGCCATTTATCTAATGGCCTGGCAGACAACTGGAGTCAGGTAAATACATTGTGCTGGTATTAATCTTTTAAAATGTATTATAGCATTTTTATACTATTTCTCTTCTGAATAAATTTTGAAGATTTATACTTATTTAATAAATAACAAATTAAGGTTTGATAGCACACAAGTGTAGTTTTAATGGAATATTAAGGTTCTTGTAGTTCTTAACAGTTAAGGGTTAAGGGTGGATCAAGGGATGGGGGTTTGGGTCGAATGTTGGAATGTTTCTATCATCCAAATCCTCTTGAGTTTTTTTTTTTCTCCAGAATGAAATAAAATAACATTTAGGCATTTTGATAATTTAGCAAGCACATGTTTTTATATATGAGAGCAGCAAAATATTTGTAAACTTTTTATTTATAAATATTGCCACAAATTTGACGTTATGACTTTACACTTGTTTGGTGAACGACAATACTATATACAGTAATGGACAGATTTATCGCGAAAATCCCAATGCATTGAACCCATTGCCGTTGCGTTGAAGGGTTGTTGAACTTATGGATGTTTATTTAACGTCGCCGTATTCTCGTGTCTCTAATTAGTTTACACTCTGGTGTAATCAAGTTCGTGAATAAAAAGTTTCAGATCTCAAAATGTTTGTATTGTACAATTACTTATCTTGCCAGATTGAACAATCTTTACATGCCTGTTTTCATTCAAACAGTTAATAATTTAATTTAGATAAAATTTACTGTTGGAAATTGTTTTTTAAGGTAGCATATGATGCTGGTGGTAAATAAATTTCTGTGAAGACAAAATGCTGTATAATATTATAATGAATCGAAATCTGAAATATAACTATTATGTAACCACTTCATTACACCTGATGAAGCCAGAATAGACTGCTGGCAAAAGCTTGTGTATTAAGTAATATAAGTTAATCTATTTAAGAGCTACTAGTGTTTTTATTTCATGAAAATTCATGTGAACTATTGATCAGGCTTGTTAAATTTTGATACAGGTTAGGCTGGCGGCGTCTGTTGCAACCCGCAAGTTCCTCCTAAATTTACCCAGCGAAGCTGCCAAAGAGAAATTTTATCCTGCTCTTCTGCCAAGGATGTGCCTCAACAGGTGAGTATTTACGATACTGATGGAATTAAAGTTCTGAAAATTCATTTTTTTTAGGTTAACAAGCGCTCGGACGAACTCATTCCTACAATTTTCTACTTTCCAATTGGTCCATCATGATATGGCTGCTGCCATTTTTGTAAAGACTAGTCGGAGGTTGTTGATTTTAAATTCCTATGGAGGAAATTGTTGGCCTACCTAGGGGATATTGAAGTGGTTGATTGGCTTATGGGGCATGAAGGTAAAGTGGGAGGGCAGTAATAACTTTTAGGGGCACTACCTGGCAAAAAATAAGGTGGTATGATGTCATTTTTAACTACTTGAGCGTAAATTGTTTTGGCTTACAAAAATTATAGTGGGGGTGGCTGATGGGCACATATATGTTTATTTTTGGTAGTGCACCAGTATGGTTTTTTTTTTTTTTCAAAACAGTATGTTTTTTTTTTTTTTTTTTTTTCAAAACTTATTGAAAAATTATGCAAAACAGTATGTTTTTTTTTTGTTTTTTTTTTCAAAACTTATTGAAAAATTATGCTGCATTTTTCCTAATTTAACTAAAATTTCTGTTAATATGACAGGTATTATGTTGCTGAAGGTGTTAGAATATATTCACAAGAGACGTGGAGACAAGTGACTCATTCAGAAGGGAAACAATTAGTGGAGAAATACATACAAGAAGTGGTAAACAAATCTTTCATGATGTTTTCTGTGTAATTAAAAATTAAAAATATACGAAAATTTAAGAATTTATATTTTGTTTTGATTATATTAAATTTCTTTTCATTTACACTTTCTTGTATTTTTATATTATTGCCATAATTATATTCTGTTGCAGGTCATATACTACATAAACCAGACTTTGGCTGACAACCACGCTGTAAGGGAGGCAGCTTGTGCGTGTATCGCTGAGCTTGGTTCCAAGGTATATCACCTTTCCTATGTGTTTTTTAATTATCAGTTTACTTTGCTCATTAGTGATGGCTGCATTCTCATGAACGTGGATATTGTTGCTAAGGACTCACAAAGTGACAGTGGGCTTGTTCGACTGGTTCATTTCGTTGAGTGCGAATTTTTGTTGAGTATTATTTTCATTCGACTGGTTCGTAAAATACACTTCGTTAATCAGTGTTAAGTTATGCATGTGACCAAAAAAATATGTCCGATTGGTCAGTTTAGCAACAACGTTTGCGTTAATATAATTTAGATTAAATTTCAGAAAATAGAAATTTTTACCCACATTGAAGTAAAAAAATTATTGTAAGCTAACAGAATTAAAAAACTGGATGAAAATATTTCTTTTCGAAAAGCCCATACTGCCACAATCTGAAGCAGCCTTGATTATGCAGCGTTTATCGCGGTAACTATGCAGCCATTTTGTTTTGTCGAGTATTTACCAGTTTTCTATTTGACTGGTCATCTTCGTTAAATAGGATTTTACCACTGCACAGGTAGGCATGGTTTAACGAAGAACGACCAGTTGAATATGGCCAGTGTTAAAACATACGCAGACACATACGTTTCTGAGACACGCGTTTATTCCTCGTGCTGTTCTGATTGGTCAGGTGTTAAGTTTGATTGACATTCGGGAAAGGTCTATTGGGAGGTAATGAGGGGGGCGTGAAGGGCTCAATGATAATTTGCAACTTGTAAATAATATTCTTTTTTATTGGTTGAATTCACTTAGATTGACAAGGAAGTTGTAAGACCTCATGTGGAAGATCTTCTGAAAGCTCTGCTGGATTGCTTCAAAGATGAGAGCTGGCCAGTGAGGGACGCTGCCTGTGTTGCATGTGGCAATTTCGTTTTGTGTTTCCCAGAGGAATCGAAGTATGTTCCTATTTATTTTTTTGTTTTCTCTTTGTCCGTTCATCCATCTGTCTTTCTTTCAACTATCTGACGGGCAAGGAATTTGCCACTTACGGACGTTACAAATATTTTCACCGGGTAAAACTTACACCGGAAAGCGTTTAGATGCTGGTTCAATTATTTTCTGCCATTTGCCTTGACCGAAACTCCGCTAATGCATGTTTCTGTACTGCAAGGGTATGCTGGCAGGTTGAAATGCGGCACCACATCACCCCCATCCTAGAAAACCTGCACTGGCTACCTATTCGGCAACATATTATTTTTAAAATCCTGTTATTGTGTTTTTTCAGGCTCTTCGATTCCAACAACCCTCTTATCTCTCTGATATTCTTACTACCTATGTCCACAACCACCGTCTACTCAGCAGATAAGTGTCTTCTCACATTCCCCACCTTCAGGTTGAAATCATAAGTCCAACGAACCTTTGCTTTTTCTCAAAGCCTCATTTCTGTGAAATGACTTACCATTATCTGTCAAAAACTCACCCTCTTTGAATTAATTTAAACTAAATTTTAAAACTCATCTATTTCAATCCATCTAGTCTACTCTGTTTTCACGTTCATATCTACATTGTCTCTTTACGTTTCTATTTATTACTCCACTACTTTATTCAATCTGTGCTCTATGATTACTTTCGCTCCTTTTATTTGATTATGAAATTGGTATATAACAAATGTTTGTTTATTATTATATTATTTTTATACAAGAGACAAAGTTCCATGTTGTTCCACATTATTCATTGATTTTCTCCTCTAGGCCATCAATGGATGCTCTTTATCCCCTCTTCTTTGGGAACATTGCTGATAACATTCCGTCCGTACGACAAGGTGCTGCAGTTGCTCTTGGAAATGTTGCCAAAGCTTATGGTTAGTATCTCAATCAACTATAGAGGGCAGTATTAATATTTATTAAAAAAAATTTATAACTGATGGATTGCTATTTTGTTCTTGATTATCCAGGAGAAGGTGCAATATGTATTTTACTTGACAAGATTAAAGAGGGGATAGCAGGGCTAGAAAAGCAGCCAGAGTCATCGGAACGTTATAGCAGCTTAGATAAAGATCCGGCAACATTTGGGGTCGTGAAACGTTTGAGAGATAACGATATGGAACTTCATTCAAATAAGCAGGTGAGGTAGATGTAGTAGGAGAATAACCCATAAATCGCAGCATCATTGTGCTGATTAGCATATGGGTGTGGTCCGTGACTACTTAGTTGCCATAAAGAGGCGCAAATAGTAGTTACATGTTCACATCATTCCACAACAGCAGGGCTGAAATAATCCATGACATATTGGTAACCCCCTTCCGAAAGATGAAATGGGTTCTTTAAAGTGCACACCAGCCAGATGGGTTCACTGGACCTGAATTTAAAGTCCTTACCCAAGAAGACTTGGTTCTACCAAACGAACCCCGGGAGAGGAGCGGCCCAAACCAACGCCAATGTTAAGGCTGCAGTTAGCAACACCTCTGCCGCTCAGCCACTGGACTCGCCTTCGGGACTTTTATTTTTAGGATGTTGCTTTACATATAAGAATGATGGAGATAATGATTGCGATAACAATCACAAATAAGATTATTACAAGGAAGACGATTATAATCATCATTGTCATTTCCACTATCATCCTCCTCCTTACTATCATTACCATCATTATTATCACAATCATCGTCATTATGATCATCATTTTCACCATTATGATTATCATCAAAATCATCATTGTAAGTAAACATCATTATAACTATCAGCGTTATCATCAATGTCACCATCATTTTACTATTAATTTAATAGGTACAAAATGTTTGTTAATTTAACTTAATTTATTGTCTATTATATAATATTTGCTTTTAATCCAGATGTACTCTTGCGGTTCATTAGCACCAAAGATGGGGCGTGGCAGCAAAGGAGGTTGCATGGATCACCAGTTTAAGAGACCCTCTGAACCATGGGAGCTGTGTGATGGGTAATCCTATTGTCATATGTTTAATAATAATTATACTAAAAAGCAACATTGCGATACATAGTTTCTTATTTTTACATATGAATGTACAGCAAAACTTCCATTTTGCGAACATCGATTTTACGAATAGTCGATTTTACGAATGGTCTTTGCCCCTGATGACATTTTCATCAACCAATTAATACCGTCAAAAAAGTCTGATTCGCACATTTTACAAAGTGATAATGTATATTTTTCTTTAGAAATTATATTTTTCTTTAGAAAATCAAGTTTGTTGTATTTATTTATTAATAGTATTTTCTTCCATTTCTGGTACAACAATCACTATGTTAATTTAACCTAACCAGAACAAGGAACTACCATTGCAAGTGTTGTCGGATTTAGCGCACATGTTTACGATGACGAGCGAGAGTGTTGCCATTTGGGGTCAGCAACTTATTGACATCGTGAATGCAACATACAGTATGATCGCGAAGTGCATGTAAATAACACTATTGGGCGATCTAACAACTAGAAAGAACACGAGAGAAAGGTCCATATAAACATACAGATGTTTGAATAAGAGTTAAAATAATATTTTGTTAAGTGGAAGAATGCCAGCAATTAAAATAATTTTTTTTTGTTTTTATCGAAGGTAAATTCAGCCAAGGAGTTATAACTGTTACCAGGATAGGAAGCTGGCTGGTTTAAGCTGTCTTTCTTGAATTAGCCTTATGTGTGGTATTGTTATGCTAATGAGGCAAATAAGCGCAATCTGCACATGCTCAGAAAAACAAAACTTTCCTTAGCCACACCATGGCCACACTGCGTATCGGCTAGGCGTAAGCTAGGACTAGCCGAGAATTACGGTACAGTAAAACAAAGCAATATAAGGGTACTAATTTCACTTGGCATGCAAATCAATCATACTTACACACTTCAAAAAATTTGATTTTAAATTGATATAATTAGGCTAGCCTAGGCCCGACCTAGGCCATGTCTAACCGCTTATAAAAATGCAGAAAAAAGACCCAAAACAAATTAGAATGAAGTTACCAACTAACTAGTGCATTAAAATTATTCATATACTTACTACTTACCTACCTATATAAAATTAAAATGTATTTCTCACAAACGCCAATATTTGGATTTTAATACACCTTCTCCACGAATCGGTAGACATCTTGAAGTGATGACAAACAGCCTAAGTCAATGGTGTGTAACAAACAAAAGTAAGATAAGCTAACTGCTGTACGCATAGCCGATATGCAGTGTTTCTAAGGAAAGTTTTGTTTTTCTGAACATGTGCAGATGGTGCTTATCTGGCTCATTAGCATAACAATACCACACATAAGGCTAATTCAAGTTAGACGGCTTAAACCAGCCAGCTTCCTATCCTGGTAACAGTTAAAAGTCCTTGTTTCAGCTAGGCTCTAGTGTGGTAGACCACACTGTTGCATTGTCGTTTCGTGCTAGGCCTGGCTGCCGTCAGGCTATCGGCGCTCAATGGAAAGGAGATAGCTAGGCCTTGGTATTGGAAACTTACACCCGATCTAGTTTACAAATGTTTCAATTTACAAACACATTCTGTTGATGAATTTACTTTCTATGTTATCTTGCAGGTGTATATATCTGTTGTCCGAACTTTCAACAATAAAATCAACCGAAGAATCAGTCGTGGAGATGTTGCCATCGGTTGCTGACTGTGGCAGGAATCACAACTACACACAACATGTGTGTCTTCTTGAAACCATATGCAAGCAGGTAATAAATCTAATTTTAGAGAAATATTAATTAAATAATTGATAATTTAGAGAAATAATATCTTAGATTTTAAGGTTCTTTTATTTATTTTTATTTATCAACACTACATAAGTACAACCAACAGGAAATAAAATTTGTCACTTTAAGGAGGATAAACATAGTAATACAATAAAGAAGTAACAAGTTTTTCAAAGTTCAATTTTGTTTTTCATTTTGGTACATACTGCTACATATACATCAATTTTTTATACTTAAAATTTTTAATTAAAATTTCCGAAAAACCTGGCAACTACTACTAGGAGACATCTTGAAGGCTAGACATTTCACTCTATGTTACCAGTGTTTATCTGTGCTTTGTGACTGGTGCACAACCTTGTTGTTGTAGAGGCCCAGTCTTTGAAAACAAGATGGCAAAAAAAAAAAAAAAAAAAATAGGGGCACATAAAATCTGCAGTGTTTTTCGGTTGTCGAAGTACTCAAAAGAAGATACGTGTCTGGAAAAACGAAATTTGCTGAGGCTAGCCTGCTGGATGGTGCTGTTTCAAAGTAGACACAATAAAGTGTTGTATACTACAATACAATATATCTTTAGATGGCAATGAACACTAACAGTACATTTATTTAGCCTTAGCCTTTAAAATGTTAACAAGAATAATTTTTTAAAATTTGAATTTAGTTCCCAAAACTAAACAATAATAAACAATCATATTGTTGTTTGGGAAGGTGGATCGGCACAATGTGATCTGTTTGGATTTCCAGACCTCAAGGTCGGGAGTTCGAACCTCATGGCTGTCCATTCTTGACCGACCATGCATAAATACCCCAGCTGGCATCATCATAAAAGTAAATTTATTGCTATAAAATGATACATAGGGGCACAAGCACGACCCTTAACCTGCTTAACTCTCATGTAAGGGCTATGAGGGGGATAAGCATTAGCCTGGGTCTTGAATCCGGGTCCTCAAAACGAATTGGACAAATTCTCAGCTTACTTTTATAATAATCAAATATGATGTATTTTATATAAAAAAATTATTGTAAGATGTATTGAGTTTTATAGTAAGCATATACTTTGTATTTTTTAATTAAAAAAAAAATATATTGTTTTTTTTTTCTCCATAGTTACCAATCATTGCAAAAAATATAGAAAAAAGAAGATTTAAGTCTCATTTGGATAAATTTTTAGATCCTTTATTTTATGCATTGGTAAGTTATAGAAAGTGAATAACTATAAAATAATAGTCTTGTGATTCCAGAAGTTATTATAACAGAAAATTTGTATTGAATGAACTTGTCCTATGTGTACAAATTGATGCTGTAGGTTTGTATGTTGATGTGTTACCTGTTGACCCAACACAAATATCTGTCACGTAAAATATATTGATGTCCACAGCAAATATAATACAATCGTCAAATTTAAAATTACTGTATCCTATTGTTTTAAAGAGCATTAAAATCTTTAAAAAAATATTAACTGATGCTGAATTTCTGCAGCAAATAGAAAAAAATGTTAATTGTGATTTTATTTTTATTTATTTAGTCATGTGATAGTGCCTTAACGAGTAGTGCAGCGAGTTTATGTTTAATTGAAATTGGCAAATACGTGGGCCCCAACATCTTGAAGGGGCGAGTGGAGAATTACAATGCAAGGTAATATAATGTAATTAGATTTATGTAGAGCGCTTTATGCCGAAATATCAAAGAGTTTGGAGGGTGAACTAGCTCATACAGGAAAATTCTTCACTGGCCATGAAGTCTCTGGTCTTTTTCTGAGAAGACTTGTCCCACCACTGGAACCATAGGCAAGCGTATTGCTACAACCTGCATTGATGTTATGGCTATATGTTGCAACGCACCTGTCTTAACTTCTTAGAGATTCGACACACTGAGGGAAGATAATTCGCAACAGAATGAGACGATTATTTTCTAACGAAATACAAGTACATAATAAATTATCCATTTTTTTTTATATCTTCTTGTGAAAACATCTGACTTTATTTGCAAAGAATAAAATATTCAACTCAGCGAGTCAAACAGCTGAGCGGTTAAGGCAGGGGCACCTTAAGTATAGCCAACAATACAGGCACAGGTTCCCGGCCAGCTCGCTCCTAGTTCTGGTGGTGGAACAAGTCTTCTCGGATATAAACCGTATAAACCATAGGCTGAGTGTAGACAAATACTCAGTTGCATTTTAAAGAAGCCAGTACATCTTTCGAGACAAGTAGGGGGTTCCCCTGGTGTACTGGTCCACTTGGCCTCTGTCGTTTACCGGCTCCAGAGGACATGAAGTGACCCTGTTTCCTAGTATAAAAAAAATATAAAAATTAAATGGACTGTGCTTTACTATGAGACATAAAATTAGTCATTCTATAATTTCTCTCTTTTAATGCAGTTACGTGGATAAGCTTCTCGCGAACCAATTCTCAGGATGTTTCTGAGAGAACCTTCATCTGACAAATCACGCCAACATACACTGATAGATCATGGAATACCGTAAATGGTATGTTGGAGGAATTAAACCATCAATATTTTAAATAATGGTATTGAATGATTGAGCAACCAATTACATGCTTGAAATAATAATACGCTTGTTTGGGGATCGAAAGGCCATAGATTTTCCAGATAATATGCAATGAATTCTGTATAATAATATGCTGATTGACAGAGCAAAGTAAATGTGCACATGTTAAGGGTGTAAGTGAATACTGCATAATCTATGCTTGTTCAGGCTGCAAGTTTGTATTAATCATTGGATGTTGCATAAGATTTTATAACTTCAGATTCACAATACTGTAGCAGATAAAATAGTGAGCAGGTACCTATGCTAAGTATGTGTTAGCTTATTCATATTGCTGCCTTTTAACTTTTAAGAGTAAGAAAGACTGCGAAAAATAATAAACACAAATCGACAATATCTATGGTGACCCTAAAAAATGCTCAAATTCATCGAAGAGTGGTGTGTGGTAAAGCGTGCAAGGTATTGGACTTCAGATTTGCGAGATCGGGAGTTATAGACAAAAAACTTAAAAATTATAACAACGTACAATTACAGTTATTGCAGATAGAAAATTCATTTTATAGCCTGTCATTTGGAAAGTCTGTTTTATTTCCCCATCAACAATTTCTGTCAATTTCAGTAAACCTTGATTATATGTTATTGGTACTGAAAGTAATTCATAATAAAAAACAATAATGATGAAAGGATTACTAAGATTAGAAAAGAGTTGTTGTACTACAGTATGTCTGTCTGTAAAACATAATACTGTATAGAGCTTTTCCTTACAGTATTGCAATAATGAGATGTTTTAAATTATGACTGATGTATTAATGTAAATGTTTAATTACCAGTTTATAAATATTAAAAATAGGTAGAATGATGTCATATTTTATTAAGCATTTCTATTTTATATGGTCTTTGCTTAGACTAAGTTTGAAGATGATCCCAGCTTGGAAAATGACCAAAGTGTAGGCTAGAAAAAAAAGCCATATGCAGAACATAGAGAAAACGCCTGGATAGAAGAGAATATTAATTGCGACAGAAAGAATAGCTTTTCTGTTGTCGCTCGTTTGGTCGTGTATTTCATGAAAGGTCTTACTTAATTTCCTTGGAACATGTAAAATGTATGTTATTAGAAATTTAGGATTAAAGTGTGCTTGCAAGTGTCAAAAACTGGTAGCTAAATTTCATGATAATAAAAATAGAAACAAAATACTTTGATAAAAGCATAGTGAAATACTGGAACACATAAATGTAGAGAAACATAAAACAATGAATATAATACGAGTTTATTTGGACCAGAACAGCCCAATAAAAACAATATAATATTACCGTTATGCCCCACCCTCTGATAATAGGTAGTTTTCGCCGCACGATGTTAACCTTAACTTTAACGGTAGTACCCAACATGCAGCGCGATAGCTCCACCCCTTTTGTAAACAAATCTAAATATGCATGTGCAATCCTGTAACTAACGTACGTCGAGCACGTAAAATCTTGAAATTAACGTACTCCGCTACACAAGATGAATAAATTATGATGTCATCCATTAACGTTAAGGTTAACGTCGTGCAGCGAAAACTGCCTATTGTTCTTTACGGTCCCACGAAACCATAGTGTAAACGTACATAAACATGTGCATTTGTTTTTGGGACAGCACGTTCATACTGTGGGACAAATGTGTATTGCTAGTCCTGTTCTGATATGTCAGTTGTCACGTTTGATTGACACCCAGGAAAATCAATTGCAACAGGTTTATTTCTGTGCATCGAAAATGTTTGAGAATCAGAAATCTCAGTTTTAAAAAGATATCAATGCATTCAATTATTGCGGGTTGAAAAGTATTTTAGTCTCTTCATTTGCAAAGTTGTTTCATTCGTTTGATTTCTGTATAAGCACTTCTGTAAACCTTGATTAGGAGTTTTTTTACATGATTCCAAAGCAGAAAAATCATTTAAATTTAATGGTGAAATTATTTCTAAAATATAATTGTTCCTGAATTAATAATAATTAAATAATTTTTTATTAATTCAAACTTAAGATGTACTGTACTGTCTGTTGCGAAATTGAAAAATAAAAACACTTGAAAAATTCAAATAAAACATTGAATACAGTAGCTCATTTGAAATGATCCGATGGTTAACAAATTCCAATGGCATGTCAAAGTGATTAAATTTATAAATTTTTATATGCAACAAAAAAAAAAAAACAATGAGTACAGTACCCACAGTGGAGGAAATAAATTTGCCATAATGAAAAAGAATGCTAAATTTAAATCCATGTGTTATGAGAATGGTTTAAAGGGCTTGTGCAAAGAGCATTCATTTTGTTTGTAATCATATTATTTTTGCTGCTGCTATTAGTTGACAAGGAAATATATTTTTTTTAATTGAAAGCTAGTTCCTAAACTATAGAAAGATGTAATATAAATCATCAAAGGTACATATACAGTGTTTAATAAGGACATGATGGAACATCGTAGGCAACACTGTAGCTTTTCAATGAATAAAGTCCTATAAAAGTCATTGTGTAATAAAATTCCTCCGACGGGATTTGAACCTGCGACCTCTCGCTGACAAGGCGAACGCCATAACCACTAGACCATGAAGGATTCATGGTTGAACAGGTCCAAATAACCGTCGGGAACATTGTATTACACAATGCTACGCCTCAAGAGGGCGTTCGGCCAGATAAATCTGGCAATACGGCTAGGAATACTGTCGTATATTGTATTGAAGGAAGTTAGCCGTTAGCACTGTTGAATGAATATAATATAAATCATAAAAGGTACATATACAGTGTTTAATAAGGACATGATGGAACATCGTAGGCAACCATGTAGCTTTTCAACGAATAAAGAAATAGAAAGATGCAATTCGAAAATTTCATAACAGCTCAATACAAATGGTATACTTTAAGCAAACACTGATTTCAATTCTTTTTAAGTCAGTCAGTTTACTTATTAATTCCTATGCAAGATATACCAAATAGTATAGTCACTTGATTGGTGTAGTATTTTATTCGTTGTCATTTTATAATGGAAGTAATTCAGTGATTGTTTTGTGATAAAGTTTGTTTTAGAAAAAGTTCGACCACACTGAAATCTTCTTAAAAAAATTTAGCAAAGATATGCCACAGAAAATCAATACAACATAAAACTGCACCAGATTAAATTAAATGGTTAAAATGGCGTGCAGAAAAACATGCAATCGATTCAGTGTTTGCACGACAAATAACCATTTATTGCAAGTGTGTTGTTTATCACGGCCAATGATCCTTTCCGCTAGCTACGCCTCTTGAATTGTTGCTGAAGTCCTACAAAACAACAGTGTGGGCCTGTTGCTGTTGGCATGAAAAAGAAAAATTTATTTTGTCAACAGTAACTGCACTAGGTTAAATTAAACGGTTAAAACGGCGTACAGAAAAACACGCAATCGATTCAGTGTTAAAAAACGTGAAGTATCGTCATCAGTAATACAGCATTGCTGATGATATTCGGACACATCTTGTTTCTTTTTCGCGCACAAGAATAAAACGATAGAAAGGTCATTACACACTTCCGACCTTCAAAAACATTATAGGTAATGTGTCGTCATACCTTCCCGACTTTTTTTTTTATAGCAAAAAATTAGACAACGCGGACATATGCTTATAAATCAATTTAGCTTGGCCAAAAAAGTAACTGGTATTTTTTTTTTTTAATTGAACAGAAACAGGGCCTGTAAAAACATATACACACTCGTGCATTTGTGTGACAACACGTGTGTTAGGACGCGCTCGTATTCCAGGCCCTGTTCTGATTGGTCAATTGCCCGAAGTTTGATTGACACTCCAGAAATGTTTAGTGTTCAGAGTGTTTACATGTTTAGCCATGAGTTATTTGTTGGATTGATTTAACAGGCATATCGGTCAAAGACATCCTATTTTCAGTACTGTATATTATATTTTTGTTGATTTAAAATGATGATTGTTTTTCACAACAATATTTTGTCCTCATCGAATAATCGAACCAAAGGCCCTCTAATTACCGGTCAGATGCTCTACCAACTGTAAGGCAAAGTTGGTAGGTACACTACCTTGGATTTACTTTCAGTTACCTTTTTTTTTCTCAAGATATAGAATATTACACTAAAGAGTAAATCGCATCACTTCACTTTCTAAAATCTTAGGTAAAGCGATAGTTACGCAAAAGCGTAATCACGTAAATGGTAGTTATTTGACGGAGCAGTCAATCGTTCAGTGACGTAGCAGTTGTCCTTATTCGGGTACACTCGTCATTCATGGAAAAAATATCGTCCAATCAATCAGTGTAAGCCTTAATGTTAACCGTGAATAATGTCAATGTGAATTTCAGTATTGAGGTATGGTTACTAGAATAACAATACCTCTTGGTTGTATAAAATTTATTACGTTTGTTGTAGTAAATAAATAAATAAGTAAAGTATAGTATGAATATATTGTTTCCTTCTTCTTGTAGTATAATATCGCTGTTATAAATATCATACAATTTTATCACCAAAACACATAAAATATGTAATTTTTCTATGGTGAAGCAGGGCATAGCATTAAAGCATGTCTCTTTCTGAGATTGTGTAGGCATGTGCTGCTATTTATGACATTTTGTGACCTTAATATTCTCATTAAATTGTATTTTCTATTAGGCCCTATACAAATTTATGTACAATACAATAAGACTGTATCACAGTCTGTGTCATCGTTACAAATGTGTAGATTAACTTTATGCTCTGAAGAATTTTTAAAGACACAGGCCTATAGAAATTGTAATAGTTTTCAGGTAAAACATATAAACATACAGAGAAACATGGCTGTGTGAATTATATGTTAGAGAAAAATAAGCCCTAAAAACGTCAATAACGACAACATGCGCACTGGACGATGAATGGATTGATTACTTTGATAAAGTTCAATATATAATTTAAACAAAGACAATTTGTGGCTGTTATAAAAAAAAATATGCGTGAAGTAGTCCTAATTAGCGTGTGATGTCTTTAATAGTATGTAATTAGATGTATGTTATGCATGTATGTATGTATTTATTTTGTCTGCAAGTATGCATTTGGTTTGGTGAGTGAGTAGTGTGTTAATTTCTAATGTAAGTGAATGCAGAATGTGGTCAGTTGGACCATGGAGGAATAAAATCATGATTTTATTCCTCCATGGTTGTACCTGGACACTTCCCAGAATGAAGGCCACGCAAACTAGGAGTGAAGACCTATATCCTGAACAAATAGCCCTTGTGGTATAAACAATCGGGGCGGAGGGGGTGGGGTGGGATTAGTGTATAGAGTATTTTTGTAATGTTCCGCTAACGATGAGATTAATCAGTTTTAGTCTAGATCTATTAACATTTATCCTAAAATTTAATCTTGACCTTATTTCTCATTAGAAAATATAACTTCTAAGAAATCGTCTTTAAACCATGGAGGAATAACTTTAAGCCAAATGAGTGCCGTAAAGTTCAAATAAATAAATAAATTAATTAATGTTTGTAATAACCACCATTATTATACAAACATAGGCTTGTGGTTGAACTATATAAATAATTATTATTGTCATAAATGTATTTTTTAATTGTAAACATATACAAAAACTGGACACTACAGTTATCGCCCTCTTTATACGGATTGAATAAAAAGTATATACAGTATTAATAAAACACGGAATTTAATTAAAACAGTTTTCTACTCCAGTATTACAGTTAGTTAGGACTAACTTCACCATTTAAATACAAAATTATAAAAATATATGCATCCATAATTACAAATATGTGTAAAAAAAAACAGCTCAGCATAATGTAAATATTCGCTTTTTACCCTAAGGTGGCTAAAGGCCGGGAGGCAATGGGCCTAGGTGGCAACAGGCCGGGTGCCGGGTGCCAACGGGCCAGGTGGCTACAAGCCTGGTGGCAACGGGCCTGGCAGCAAAGGGCCCAGATTGGCAGAATGCCAGGTAGGAAAAGGATGGGTGGTAAAAAGCTGGGTGGCAACGGGCCTAGAGTGGCACCCCCATTTCAAGACTTCTAGAGACGCTACTGTGAACAAAGGAATTGAAAGTTCACCTAAGCTGAAATGTGAACGAAAATATTGTACACAAAGGCCCCAGTCAGACAGTCCCTATACATCCAAACCATTAAATGGAGATAAAAACAAAAATTATACTATATTATACTGTACTGTATTCAAATTTTAAGTCTGAGGGTGCCATTTCCATCTAGAGGTGCCATATTCATAACATTTGCGACATCAGCCGCAACCATGATGGGCTGAGGTGATATAACCTTCCATCTGTGAAAGTTCCTCCTCTCCCCCCCCCTCCCCCACCTATTTCAAATTCCTGGATCCGCCACTGCAGAACTTCACAATCCAATTTATACATATGCACTATGGTGTCTCCATTGTCTTGTGCGTATTGGCGGAAGATAATATTCGGCTCGGTCGATGATATCAAGTTAATTGGACATGCTAATTCTCTGACAGTAAACCAACGCAGTGACTATTTTTTTTAAATATTTACATAAACGTCAATCTCTTGTAGGTCTATAGTATTTGAAGTTTGTTGTTTACTTTTTTAATAGAAGATTTGTTACAACAAACCGTGAGGTCTAGATTACTTATTAAATGACAATTGACTTAGATTCAATAATATGTATTATTCATATTATATTATACATAATTTCGTTAGTCATGATGTTAAGATTTTTTTCATTGTCAACCCGGACACTCATAGATTAATATAAACAAGACATGTTTTCAGTTAAGGCATTTGTAGATTCACGGACGGATTAACACTTAAGACTGTGAAAGCTATCCAAGATGTCCGTTACCGCATCTTTTCTTGTAATTCCTGGTTTTTATTCTACTGGGACTCCAGTCATCTGCATTACTTGTAAGTTTACAAATTAGTTCTGGTGCTCATTGTCGTTTCACGGGAACATAAGATGCTATGCCTCGAAGGTCTTGTGAAATTATAAAGGACATACTAGTACCACATTTTATATCATATCTATTTATAGAAGTATTTCAATCACTATCTTGTTTGTCCAATTCTCAAAAGGATATGAAACAAGAAACCACGGAAAAAACTATCTCTAATCCATAAGATTTGAGTCATTCAAAAAAAAAAGAAAGAAAAGGAAAAGCTTTCTAATGAAAATTTTATGTATTCACATAAGTCCTTTATCAGTTGAATACGCCCTCATTAACCACCTACACTATAGTTCGTCTTAATTATGGCTTATGTGGCAGATTCAAGGGTGGGAGAGAAACCGACCCACCCCTTACACACCCTCCCTAAATTTCGGGAAAAAAGAAAAGAAAGTTATATTCAAATTAAATTTTGAGTGTGTCATTTCTATTAGGCATAAAATTTCATACCAGCCGCAAACCATGGTGGTGCTGATGAGGAATGGGCCTTTGATCCGTAGGCCTATATAAAATCTGAAGCGAAATTTGCGTTTCCGAAGCGCTGAACGCCGTGCGTATTCCTTAACACAGAGATTAAGTAAGCCTTCCGATCCGAAAATTCGGATTTGGTGTGAATGGACCCTTACTTTGGTTTGCTATTTATCTTTCCTCTGATTTTTATTGTAATCTACTCGCCTTACCTTTTCTCTTATTTACACACGGCCTAGAATTTTGTGTTTTCTTTCTTTTGCGAAATGAAGTGATTTTAAATAACAGGCCTATAATTGATTGATCCAGTTACACAGCCACATTTTGTCACTTCATTAAAGTAAATGATATCGGTCGTTTCTTTAAATATTTATATCCACTGTAGCATTTCGCTTTTGGAAATTATATTCTGTAGCACACACGGTATCTCATAATTTCATGTTTGAAGTTTGGTTTTTGTATTTGTCTTCTAAATTTGACTTGATTTCTTTGTATGGCCAACGCCATTATCAGTTACATTAGAGTTGCTTATTGATTTCATTCCGTGACCAGTTGCTGTTGTACTTTGGCGTAATTGTTTACGTTTTCGAAGCGTCGCCCTCATGTTTCGATTGATGTTGAAAGCGATGAAGATAAAAAGACCCTGTAACGTATTTAGAATAATGAAGAGGTACCATATTTCTACACGATCAACAAAAGAGGCAAGAAATCCGAATATCCATGTGAGACCCATTACGGTAGAAATCTGCAAGACAACAAATTTATTAGATATAGGCCTATATCGTAAAACATTTTTGTTTTGTTCAATTTGTAAGTTTAGTCACTAACAACGTACTGAATTACAGTATTATGATCTTTCTTTATAATTCGAATGAAAAAGACGAATAAATAACAAAACAAATGAAAAAATACAAACAAATTGAGCCTAATATATAACTTTATGCCTATTATAGTAAAAAGATAGGCCTAAATAGTATTCTTTAAAAATAAGTAAACATTCATACGTAGAGATCAACTTACCCTGATATAAATCTTTAATTCTTCAGATATCATATTGTGTTTTGATTCATTCGTCTGGACATGAGTCGTTGACCGCTTCGCTTTTCTAATTCCACGTATGGTACAGATAAACAAGACAAGGTTCACACTAATAACCAGAGCGATCGGCAGCCCAAAAACAACGAGGCTGGCAAATTCGTCACGGATCCAACAAACAGATTCATCGCTATATTTAAAGTGAAATGCGGGAAAATCGATGGAATGGACGCCCAAGAGAATGCAAACGAAAACTGCTGGAGTACACCAGCTATATATCATGTATCTTCTGTAGATAATGCGGTTGTGATCTTCATCTCGAGCGGTAAGCTTGAGTGCGCGGAAGATGCGGAACAAATCGATTGCCATGGAGTTCATCCAGAGAAATGCTACCAACCAGATGTAGTGGAGAATAGCTGCAACCGCTGTACAAGCTTTCGAATCACCAAGAAAATACCCTTGCAGAAGAGTTAACAATTGAGCGATAAATAGAGCTAAGGACAAATTCATGATGATCTTCCCCGAATGTGTTCGAAGCTCATGGAAAACACATCGTATCACGAAAGTGAAAAATAAGCCGATCAGAGAGAGGATGACTCCAACCATGTTCACAACAAGTAAAGAGCCAGAATACATAAATATGACCGTTCCATTCTGTCCTGAAGTTTGACTAAAGAACGAACACACCAACACGCTACCTTCCGTGGTTAGACTGTATTCACTTATAGGAAACATTTTGCCAGTTGCTTCGTGCACTAGGGTGGTGCTATTATCGCTGTGCTTTACAAACGAGGCGAGATCGAGTTCGATTAATGGACAAGAACGTGCCGAAGAATCAATGCAAGAATCCACTGTCACACTCACGCATATTGTGGAATCATTTTTTATAATGTACATCATTTCTATAGTGTAGTCATCATCTGGAACATAAATTGATTCATTTTTATTCTTGACAATCCTTGTACTATTATAATCATTGACGTCTATTTCGTTAGCAGATATAGTTTTAGTTGCACAACTCTCGTTTCGAGATGTGGTATCCATACTCCAACACTGGTGTGCAAATGTTACGAAATTCAACGGTGAAATCGATGTGTCGTCTGTGGAAAGACGTTTGCTTACAACTGATGACAAGTAGGCAACATCTTGGCAATCAGACGTCACAAACGAAATCTTATAAAATATACCACCGTTATCGGGCACATTTTCAACCGTCTGGCTAGACAGAACGATATTAGTTTTGTTTGTATTTTCAATCATAAAATCTCTCAAATTGTCTGACGTGGAAGTGTTATCGTTCGTCAGATATGTCACACTTACAAACTGCTCATCATTTTGACACAAGCAGAACATTTTACTAGAGATCAATGGAGGTTTTCGATTACATTCACTGGGCGTCTCCTTCACTGGATCTCGGCTGACAACGCACGTTGATCCAGACAGCGTATAGCCAACGTCACATTGCAGGTCTATGCATTCTTCAGTGATGTAATTATAAACTTTGCCTGTACCACAATCTAAAGGACTATCCGTGTATACAATGTATTCTGATTGTAAGCTAATTTTTCCGTCAGCAAAATTTACTAGTATGTCTAACGTTGTGTAATGGGGTGTTGGTGGACCAGGTTGACCAGGTGCACCATCTCCAGGTTCACCTCCCGGTCCAGGCTCACCCCCTGGGCCAATTGGGCCGGGTTTACCACCTACAGAAGGTATAAGTCCAGGTAAAAATGGCTCTTTTGGCCCATCATGCTTTTGACAACTGTATGAACTGTAACCGTTGCAAATGACGCAATGCGGATTCTTGTATGCAGTTTTAGTAACATACACCGTGGCCGAATACGCAGCACACCCAATTTTAGTGTGTTCATCTCGATAAAGCTCAGGGCAGGTTTCTCTCTGTGAAATTTGGCAAGGCCGGGGGAGTTTTCTGTTTTCTGGAGGTGTGTATTTGAATGACTGACAGGACACTTCTTGTCCTATTTTGTCGTGCAACATCTGTTGTGGAACAATTGTTGGGTAAGTGTCTGTTGCTGTCACAGTGTCCTGGGTGACTACTTCTCTTTCAATATCATTTGTATCACAGGAGACTTCCAAATGCCAAGCAACTAGGTCTGATGTCTGGATGCCGTCGCACGCTGCGCAATAAATGTTCTGATATACATTTCCACGAGAATCGGTTACAAGGATTTGTTGTATAATGTAACGCGAATCCGGTTGTTCACATTTTAACATAACTGTTTCTTCAGTTGATTTGTCTAAACACGTCGAGATGACGTGATATCCTCTCTCGGAGTTTTCTGGATCGGTTTTGAAACACTCAGTCTCTTTTACGAATGCTGTCTCATCTTGAAGTGTTGTTTCGTTTTGTGTCCCAAGCTGACACATGTCAGAGAAGTCGTAGCAGCAGTCCCCAAATGTTGAACATTCAATATCGCAACTGCAAGTAGTTCTTTCATCCAATAGAGAGCCGCATCTGGTGTCACATGATGAGCTTGGTAAGCAGATCAACACTGTTTCTCCATGTAGTTCCACCTCTGTTCCTTAAAGTACAAAAACAATCAAATTAAACCCACAAAACTTAGCCTCTTTATCATAAAAAAAAAATAGTGTGCAGATGTTTCCAGTTATGATTTATTCTGTAGGCCTACCATTTGCTTCGCTCAATTTGTTTAATTTTGATATTTTATGCTTGGTGTTTTAAATTGTTAACAGGTCTTATAACGATGACGTTTTGTATTAAAATATTTGTTCTTCCTAATCTGTTAAGACAATGAGTGATAAAGTATCCCCTTCCCTTCCTTTCTCAAACAATCCGTTTCCTTTCTTTATTCGTGTTTTCATAAGTTAGCTTTTCAATCCCGCCAGTTCTTCTCCGTTAGTTATAAACATGTTCGTATTTTGCTCAACTTTTACAATTGAATTTTTACGTTGGTCAATGTATATAATTCGTAGTGTGATGTAACCATGGCAATCATTTGTTCAAGTGGCAAGTCCGTAGTCCATGATGGTTATGAAATAATGAAATATATTATGTTATTAAAAATTGTGGTAAACTTTATTATTAATATATGAAAATCAAAATGTGTACAGTATTTTAATAATATTTAGAAAATACAAACAAATAATTGATAAGCTATTAAATATTTATTTCTAGGTTCTTTTCGGTTTTGTTGCAGGACAAATAGTAATTGAAACGTACATTTAAGAAAAAATATAAAAAGTAGAAAACAAAATATTTCAAAGTTATAAATATTTTTGGACGTGGTATATAAGGAAAAGTTCAAGGAAAAATTGTAGTAATTAAAATCTAAAAAATATATAATTGGAACACTTGAAAACATTATTGTAATTACGAAGTTGGAAATGGATGGATGGATCGCAACTATGGGCTCGTCTGCTCGTACAAGATTTAACACTATACTTGAAAACTTCATTACCAAAATTTTCAGTGCAAGCTGGTATTTGAGTAATACTTTCAGTTTCCGTAACAATCATTTTGAACTGGACGGGTTGTTGGCCCATCGCAGTAGGTAGTATATATATTGACTACGTGTGCACCATATTATAAATGAACATAAACTGTGAGGTAAATATCGGCGTGACAGCAACCCACGACATTCGTGTTACAATTGACCGGACAATACCAAACGTTGAACACCGATAGAGTTCCTGCTGCTTCGGCAGCGAGACGCACGTCAGCCAGGCTTCACAAAGCAGCCAGACAGATCCGGAATTTCATGAAATTTGCACACTTTTCAATGCACAAGCTAAAACGGGATCACCATGTAACACATTGATAATTTATAATGGAAATATATCAAGAAAGTTTACAGACGAAGCACACAACACAACTATTATTTTACACCGGTTCCGGTGCTATGTGTGTAGTCAATTTAATTTAAAATTATTTTCTAGGTCAGTATCAGGTACTTACTTATATCCGATGCGATACACACCACAGAGAATACCAAGGATAAGACGAGAAAAGCTCTATCACGTTTCTGGCCTATATATCCGGGTCGACGTCTGTTTCGTAATATATATTTATGCATTGTTCATTCAGTATGAAGCAGGCTACAAGAAGACAAATGAGATAAACACATTTGGTATCATTTGGAAGCAGGTACATTTTAAATCAAAGTCATGGTAATGTAGGTCAACTAGCCTCCAGGACCATTTTAGGCGACACTAGAATACAGATGAGATGAATATATTTATAGATGTCCGATCAAACCAAAAAACCTACTTGTGTTATTTAGTATATTGTACGCTAAGTTGCAATTATTCAAAATTCATCTTACCAAGACTCTGTATTAAAATTTAACCTAGTTCACTTCTTCACACAAACGAAATATTGAATACGTCCTTTCAGTGTGTCACTGAGAAGAGAAGTCGTGTACTTCTACCACAGTAAGGGAAACGTGTTTCTTATGTGGGTGATCTTGTGGTTTATGACTTTCTTATAGTGAACCGTTAACTGGTCTTCATTAGAGGGCGTTTGTTACATCCGGAAAAACCGATAGAGTCGTCATCACGACTAATCTACGGCGATCGTTGTTAATTTTATAATGTTTAAGGCCATTACTTTATCGACTACCAGTATATGTTTTGTAAGCTCCTTACTTTACAGCTCAGCTGAAATAAACGCCCCGTGTTGACGCTGTGATCACGATTACCACCCATTGGTAGGGCTTATCGCACATGACTACAGGAGGAAAGCCTCCCCCATTCCCCTTCTCGAGGAGAGCCTATACCGTCGGGGAGAAAAACACAATTCGTCGTAAGAAAGAAAATTATATGTATTTTCTACATATACAGTAGACTATCGATTAAAACCCTTTGAAACAACTGAATTGTCAGACTTTTCTCGAATCACGCCCCGGGACCATGCTCTCTTCGGGGAAATGTCATACATGAATTTTTTTAATTTTTTTTAAATTTAAATTACACTAATTTTTTCAAACGTATATTCTGTTCTTCACCAAGTAATTTACATATTCATTGTGAAAAGAGTTTGAACTGAATCGTCGCAGTAGATACTGCATGAAATCAATATTTTTTACTGTTACAGTTCGATTAATTTAATTTAGTTTTGTATTTTACAAGTAAACTGTACTTTTTTTGGGAATTTAAATAAAGTTCGACACCATAATATTGCTGCTTATTACTTAACTTTAAAGTCAAGAGTAAATAATAAAAAAAAATATTTTTGGTTTTATCAGCATCACGTATAAATCTTTCGCCTTTCTCCAAAGATTTCCGTGCAGAGGAGCTTTACTGAGTTTATTCTATGTTGTAAAACCTCATGAATTATTATTAGGCAAACCATCAACCAAAAGCAGAGTAATACTTGCCTTTGCCGCAGTGGGAATGCTTTGGTTTCCCAGCCTTGAAGTTGACGTTTTCAATCTTACGCTGTACGTTTCGCTTGTGTCCTTCAGCAAGTTAAGGCACTTAAGTTATCTGCATTGCTTTCCTTTACCCGGGAGTCTGGTGGGGTTGCCGCCTCCTACGCTTATTGCTATCACCAACATTTAAACACCTTGACCCAAGGACCAGGGAAAAAGAAACGCTTTGTATCTACAAAGAAAAGGCGCTATATAAATGTGACATAAATACATATGCTATACCTATATTATTTATTTTAATAATTTAATGTTTCTTTTACAACACAATTTATATTTAATCATTTTATTTTAACGGAGTTCATCCAAAACAATACCCAAAAGCTACTTCTAGGTAAAAGGGATAGGCCTATATCGAATTTTCTTACAAATTTATAATCTTACCTTCTGTTCTCTACTTACTAATTTACATATTCATTGCCAAGATTCTGTACTAAATCATCATATCACTATTATCAGAAACTCGTTTTATTTAAACATAACCACTGTGTTATTAAAGTCAATATTTGTTGATCTACTATTGTGTATTTAAGTAGTTCAGGGCTTAATGTTATATTTAGTTTTGTAATTTGCTAGTAAATTGTACACTATTTTCTGAGAGTGTTTTGAACGTTCGAAACCAAGGTGTTGCTGCGTATTACTTAACTATAAAGTCAAGAGTACACTCATTGCTAAATTAGCTCTTTTTTCTCTGCTTCATTATCAAATTAAGTAGTTCTGGGCTGACAGGAAAGTTTATCAGCTGGCAGTGTTTTTGATTTCTGAAGTTAAGTTAATGGTTTGGAAGTCTAGATGTAGGGCTTTGTTTCATGATGAATGTATTTCTGGGGAGGGTATGGTGGTCAGGATAGGGATTGTGTCCGGACACGTATTAAGTTGGAATATCTTAAATGTTCATCGGATTTTTCTGCCTTTCGTAAAACCTGGTGTATCCAGGGTGTGTTTGCCCTTTTAGTTGAAGGTAAATTGGTCCTTAAGGTATAATTTGGGTTTCTTTGAAGTATGTTTGTTGTTAGGTTTGTTTCTAGGTTTGGTAGTATTGTTTTGTTTGGTTTAGTTTCTGTTGCACTTGGCAGGAAGTCTCGTTTTCTGTTGCACTTGGCAGGAAGTCTCGTGTAGGCTCATGTATTCCGGTCTGCCGTGGTCAGCCTGCCTGAGGGTTTAACTCTTTGTTATTATTTGTCTGTTATGTAATCATTAGTTGCGTTAGCTCTTTAATCAAAAAGGAGTTCAGGGCCAGCTTAATATATATTTAGTTTTGTATCTTGCTAGTAAATTGTACATATTTTCTGAGAGTGTTCCGAACATTCGAAACCAAAGTGTTGCTGCGTATTACTTAATGAAGTCAAGAGTACACTCATTGCTGAATTAGCTCTGGTTTCTCTGCATCACTTATAAATCTTTCGCCTTTTACTAAAGATATTCTTGCATAGGAACTTTACTGAGTTTTATTCTATATTTCATGAATTACCATGAGGCAAAACATCAACCAAAAATACGATTCATATGATGACAATACTTGCGTTCCTTCAAAACTACGGTACTATATACAAATATTTAATTTTTTTTTGGAAGAAACCGATTCTTTTGAAAAGTAAAGTTTTATTCAAGCATCTAACGAAAAACACTTTGAGTTGTTACGCAATAAGCGCACGTTTGAGCCAATGAGAACAACACTTAAGTGTCAAGACAATATAAACGCGCGAAAACAACCGGAAATTGAACACAGCTCACTGCTGTTCGTGTGGTGTTTTCCCTTATCTTTTCTTGGCTCTCGTCGATTTTTGTTAAATTGTCATTTTTTGTACGACTGTTTGAATTCGTTGGAGATACCGTACCTATATAGGCTTTATTCTGTCAAACAAGTTTTAAACTGTTGAATGGGAATGTAAATAATTTAATACATAAATACATGCTATATATAATTTAGTTTTAGAATGTAATGTTCCTTTTATAATAAAATGTATTTGCAAGCACGTTTTAGAAAGGAATTCATCCCAAACAACACATGAAAGCCATTTCTAGGTAAAGGGGTTATATTTTATTATATCGAGTGTGTATGTTTTAGTGCAAATTTATAATCTTACTTTCTTTTTTCCACTGACGAATCTACATATTCATTCTCAAGAGTCTCTAAATCATCGTATTACTATTATCAGAAACTTGTTTTATTTAGAGGCTTAGCTACTGAGTAATTACTACTAAAGTCAATATTAGTTCATCTAATGATGTTTCGGGCTTATTTTATAGGTTTGTATTTTATCAGTAAACTGTACACATTTTCTAAGAATGTTTCGAAAGCTCGACAAGATTGTGTTGCTGCGTTACATAACCTTAAAGTCAAGAGTACAACTGTTGGTTAGTTGCTTCTGGTTTCTCTGCATCGCGTACAAATCTGTCGCCTTTTACCGTGCAGAGGAATTTTTATATTCTATTTTTTAAAACCTCATGAGTTAATGAAGCGAACAGTCAACCAAAAACAAGTTCATTAAAATTTCAAGAAACATTTGGTGTCTGGTCGACGGTATGTGAAATTTTAATGAATTGATTTAAACTGAATTTTATTAGGATATTTGATATATAGTTTCAGCAATAAAGTAAATACTGTACGTCAAAGCACGGTCTGATGCCTTGCCATGGTGCCAGGAACCGTCATTTCAGGAGTCTCATTTTTTTGGTTGCTTGAATTGAAGAGACGCGTTATTGAACTAAGACGAAAAGTTTGGTGAAAATAATTTTAGAAGCACTTGGTTTAAATGAAGCAAAGGGGAATCTTTTACAGTATGTAATGCACTCTCCTGATGTAGCGAATCATGCTGGTGATCCAAGTCTAGAGGAGGCCAATGTTGGGTGTCCACTTCGTTCATGAGATGGCAGCAATTTAAGGAAACTTATGCAGGTATCACGATCTTATAATAATGTACAGTAATGTACATTATGTACAAATGTAACACATTCTGCAATGTAATAGAACAGGAGGGCTAATCTAAAGGTTAACATAGTATATA